ATTCAAAGAGTCGCGAGCGGCGGCATCAGCAAGAGCCTTCGGAAGAGTTTCAGGGTGGAAGCAGGGCTCTCTGCGGCAGCGCATCGGCACAAGGAAGAGGCCCGAAAGGCCGGTCAGGTCCTGATCATGACCGGCCACAGCCTAGGAGGCGCCTTGGTTGGTGCCGTGTCCACGGAAGTGAACGTCCAGGGAGTCGGCTTTTCGCCTCCGGGCCTTCTCTTCCAGAAGTATCAGTGGGACCTCGACGTCTCAAGGCTCACGAAGGCCTTCACAGTGATCCAACCCACTAACGACGTGGTCCCCCAGGTCGACCAGCAGCGCGGACTCATCGAATGGCTCCCGTGCAAAGAGAATGCGCTGACCTGCCACCGGCTGACGCACACTGCATGCCTTGTGGCAGCAGAACCTCTGAAACTTTTCCGCTTTGTGATGGCCTAGTGGGGCCTAGTACTGTAGGGATCTGCAGGGTTTGGAAGTCTTTGTCAGTCTTTTCTGTTCTGGCCACTGGCATCTTCAGGTCTCTTGTGGGCTCAGTGCGGCGATTCGCGGGCCAGAGACTGGCGGGCTACGTGCTCATGCTGGTTTGGCATTCAGGACCTGAACATGCCCCAGTCCAACGAAGATTCGCTGTAGGGCTGGCGCTGTTTTGGATGGTCGCTTTGATACCTTCTTTGCTCAATTCAGTTTCAGCTTCCTGTCATTGGGCTGTCCTCCTCGCGGCCTGGCACTTGCTTTGGCACCGCCAGAGATCCGTCTTGTGCGTGACTCTGCGAGTGCAGGCTGAACAGCACCGCCGCAGCACGGTAAATATCACGGCACAAAGCACGTGACCACGCTGAGCTGGCGTTCTGCTTGTACAGCTGCGTCGCATATGGAGCTCCAGAAGCGGGCAAAAGCCGGCAGACGATGTGTTGCCGTTACCAGAAGCGAAGCTATGCTTCAACGTTTGCTGTCTCGCTCTGGCCCACTCAGCATTGCACATGCTGAGCAGCTTTGTTCAAACCCTTCCGTGGAGACACCCGGTGATGTCGTGGGCCTGAAACCCCCGCCCTGAGCCCACCGAAGACAAGGTAGAGCTCTGGGAAGCGAAGGGACGGAGTGTGCCATGCAGCGACTCGAAGTGTCTCCGCGACTGGCCCCGAGGAGAGGTCTCTTGCGCAGTCAAAGTTCCTGCAAGCTCAGACAGAAACCCGCCAAGTCCATCGCCTTGGTAAACGGACCCGAAAACGCCCTTGCTCATAGCATAACCCTGAACTCGTCGTATTCCGAAAGTAAGCCTCTGCCACTTTGGAGGGTGGCGCTGCCCTCGATTCGAGCCGAGGCCAAAGATCCTTCTTTGCATGTCTGGACAGGGCTGACCCTCGTTCACGGTAGTTCATCGCAGCAGGATCCGAGAAGGCAGCGGCCAAGACTGTTACACTCTGCGAACACCGAGGTTAGAGATATCATCTTTGAAGGGAAAATTCATCGATTCAGCGCTTCGGTCCCTCGTTCACAAGACTGGCGGTCAGGCGTCAGAGCTGCTTTCACGCACTCGCGGACTGGGAGTCGCGCGGGACCGCCTTACATCCTGCGGTTTTTCTTGAAAGATGCTCTTCGTGCGTTCGCCGACTTTTGTTTCTGCAGGAGTCGTCTCTACGTCATGAGAGCAGCATGTGCGAGGCCGTTTGCATGATTCTATGGAAATTGAGGTCTCATGACACCGGTGCCTACAGTCCTAGAGAGGAGCCGCACGAACCTTGTTTCAGCGACCATGTTCTGCCGAAAGTATGGGAAGCTGAACCAGAGGGCATCAAGCAACACCAGGGAGCGACGCATCCGAATGAATGCAGAAGCGGGAAAGCGCCCCCATGTTTGCAGGCCAAAGTCGCTGCACAAGCTGCCATCGTGGCCTTTGTCAGCTCGCGTGCGCTAGGAGGGCACCCTCTGTGTACTGGACTGCAATGCTCGATAATGATCGATGCATGAAGCGAAGCTCGAGTGCTATGCCAGGAGCGATCGTCCGTCGCAGTTACGAGCCCTTTGGTGGTGCGCTTGGGTCACAGGAGCTTCTGAAACAGGTTTTGGTTGCTGTCCTTAATGCGATTTTCACCTTGAGCAGTTGCGTTTGCTCAGCCTTAGCCTTGCTCCAAAAGATGCCACGGCAAAGGGGAGCGTCTGACGGTTATCATTGGTAGTGGACACGGCTACAAGCAAAGCTTCACGGCAGGTATCTATGCACGCGAGCGGAGGGCTTACAAAATTCCTTGGCATGCATGTCGCCAGGTACATTTGTTGTTTGGCTGCTAGAGTGCTAGAGTCTTCTAGAGATCCTGCTTGCCAGTTATGCACTCCGACGGTACAGCCCTCGGCCGGAGCAGTCCGGCGCCCGGCGGTTTTACTAAGCTTTCCGTCCTCATACTCTCGCCATGTCCTCTGCCTACCCGGCCCTGGGATCTTGTCAAGGAGCTGGCTGTCGTTCCCACTGATGGCCTTGGCTTTATCAGCAGCATGGCAGGTGCTCGAAGTTCCATAGATCAGTTGAAAATGATGCCTCGCAAGACTCTTCGCCAGAGACGGGACGGGAAGGAATAGGAAGGAACGAGACTAGCGAGAGATTTCAGGTCGTTGCGAACGAGTGCGTATTCAGATTTTTACGTGGAGTCCTTTGTTCGCTGCCACAGCTTGTGTGCACAACACACTGCTCACCGCCAGAGTCCACGCCAATCCTTTACGCGCCTGTCAGGTTTTCCACAACTGGACTCAGTCCTTGATTGCATTGCCGCTTGCCAAGGTAAATAGGAAACCTTCTGCACCTCTTTCGATCAGATTCTGAAAGTACTTCCGGGCCATGTCGAGCCGCTTGCGCTCAGGAGCATCCTTTCCTTTCTCGCCCAGTGCTATGCGCCGGAGTGGGAGGAGACCCCATTGAATGCGGTGAATGTCAAATTACACGGCATGCTCACCGAAAAACGAGCGCAGCGAGCCTCAAATTGGAAGCTTCAGTCCACGGGTTCCGGCTGGCTTCTGCATCCTCATGTCAGTCATGAAGATTCAAGATGCATTTGTTTGAGTTCAACGTTGTCTCTTTGTTTTTTAGGTGAGTCGCAGGGATGGGCAGACGAATAATTTTTGCAAGTTGATATCTGATATTGAGTAGAATAGACAGTTGAAGGTTGCCTGCATGCAAGCCTTGATTTGTCGCTTCATCTCTTTCCGAAAGACGGTAGGAATTTCTGGCATCTTTGGAGACTGAAGCAGCAACTACGGCAGAAGGAACAATTTCTGAAACCCAACTCTTGGAAGACTAGAGGAACTAAAAGAGTTAGCTGCACTGAATATGTTCCAAACTGCTCCAATTCTGCACACTTCGTGGTGGGGGTCCGTCACGGGGACAGCGGACGTGTGCCCTTCTGTCGTGTGTGGAGCCGCTCAACCGCGGATGCTGAATCGCAACAGTGAAAACTTCGACGTCGCACAATCGGGAAGACAGGTTCCAACACGGCTGGGCGTCATGACAAGGAAGATCAGCAAAGAACGGAGTCTTTGTGAAAAGCAGAAAGAAGGCAAAGAAGCACGGTTTCCTAATGTTGCCGCTCAATGAGGCTTGCCCTCTTGCCCTTGGAACGAGCATCGTCACCAGCGTCTCAGCCTACGCGTAGGTGTGATAAGACGAAACGGTTCAGCACTAAGGACAAGTCTCCACGTCAGGACGGTGGCCCTCTGCCTCCTCGCCACATGTAGTACAAACTAGTACAAACCCTAAACCCAAATTTCCTAAACTTAGAACCCTGAGCCTTGAACCTAACTAAACCCTACACCCTGAGCCCTAGATGAAACCATAGACACGACATTCAAAAGCCTCCTCAGCCCCGCGAACATGACTGAGAAGGACTTCGGGGTCCTCACGGACGATACCCTCCGGGCTCGTGCTTCCAGCCATCGACTGGCAGCAGCACCGAGACTTCTTCAAGTGCACTGCGGTTTAGGCTTTGCATTGTTGGGTTGAGGGATTTAGGGGTTCAGGGTTTGAAGTTTGGGGTGTACTCGTTTTGGGAGCTCAGGGTTTAGAGTTTACGCCTGAGTTCAAGCTCAATAAGTTACCATAGTGCATTCCTACAGTTGGTAGCAGCAGCAACAGCATCGGCAGTAATAGTAATCGTCGTTGTTTTAAGATTTCGGTGTCGTCGTCGTTGTCATCGTTGTCGTAGTCGTTGTCGAAGTCGTAGTCGTAGTCGTAGTCGTCGTAGCAGCAGTAGTAGTGGGAGTAGTAACACCAGCAGCAGGATGAGGAGGAGGGGGAGGAGGAGGAGGAAGAGGAGGAGGAGGAGGAGTAGTAGTGGTAGTAGTAGTAGGATTAGTAGTAGT